GGGCTCCTGGCCTTACTACTAGGAACAAGAATGCTACTAGGAACACAGGGCATCGCGACTAGGAGCAAGGACGCTACTAGGGGCTCCTGGCCTTACTCCTTACTCCTTACTAGGAGCAACAAAAACAAAGACATCCCTTTCAACACCGTGATGCACTGCGACATCGGTCGACCGGATCGCCGCGCTTCGAGGCCGGCCGCGGCGCTCGGCCGCGCGCGGCTCGGTGCCTAGTAGCGTTCTCGTTCCTACTAGCGTCCTTGTTACTACTAGTAAGGCACTTGTTACTAGAAGCGATGCACTTGTTACTAGTAGCTTCTTGTTATTAGTAGTAAGAATGCTACTAGTAGTAATGCCCTTGTTGCTAGTAGCGACGCCCTTGCTACTAGTAGCGTCCTGGTTACTAGTAGTAAGGCCAGGAGGCCGAGCCTGAAGACAAATCTCTCTGCACTGAGCAATGCCAAATCTGCCTCAGCGTCGCTTTTTCCGGAGTTTGGTGACGTCAAACGAAGTGGACATAAATGGCGGTTGATCAAGAAAAGCTCCACTACAGTATGGAGATGTAAAACCATTCTGGTAGGGGGGGCTTGATTCATCCACAGTGTGCATTACCCTCTACAATTAGGACGTTGTCCATTTCAGTGCTTGTTCGATTGTTCAGTACATCTGCGGTGGTCAGCCCCGTGTTACCTTGCTCGCCCTCTATGGTTGCGTTTCTTCCATGTTGCCAGCGAGCTTGGTTCAAGGGCCGCTGTCCAAACAGCCTCGCAAGCAGTGGGAAGTCTATTGTTCATCACTATCAGCAAGCCCGCCTCAAGGTATGAATCATTGAGGCTTCGCAGGCTTCGCTCCCAATTGGATCGAAAAGAGAAACGCTCAAGTGATTGAATGCACCCCGCCCAACAAAGCACGATCGATGCCTCCACTGGGTCCCCGGTCCTTTCAACACTCGCGCGTCACTGCCTGAAAAAGACCCCAAAACGCGTCGCTTCTGAGCGCACCTGTTCCTGACCAAGTTTGTAGACTGCAGTTGCTGATATTGCCTGGTGAAGGGCACCAGTTCTTGATTTATCAAGGAATGATTCATGTTTACAACAATGTGGCTTCAACATCTATCTTGCCGTTGTCTTCACCTGAGGTTGTCTAAAGAACAATCCTTATCGTTTATACTATTTGTATCCCCCTTGATATTGAGGTGGAGGGGTCTGGGCAACCATTTTGTAGGTCTTTTTTTTAAAAATCTGTACAAAATGAGGGATCTGAACAAACTGTGAAATACAAAATGCAAGTGCATGACCCATGCTCGAGTCAGAGAAGAAAATTAAAAAATACTACATTATGATCGTACATGGTGCATCCATCTTGCCAAAATCTACCACTACAAAATGCAAATTCACATTCCGTATCTTTTTGTCCCTTGCTCTTGAAATTTCCGCTTCGGAGTGCTTCTTGCACTCAACTCCCTGGAGACTTTTTCTCCTCGGAGTGTCGCATTGAAAATGCAAAATGCCTCAAAATGCTTACTCCAATTCTTTCACCTGCTCAAGATGCTCACAGGTCTTCGTCTGCGTTTTCAGCAGCAGGCAACCGGCCATTCTGAGCAGTCACGTAATCGGCAATCTCCTTGACCAATCGCATGAATGCCTGCCGGGTGCTCGGGCTGCGGGTCATCTGGCTCGTGCAGTGATCCAAGAGCTTTCTCACTGCTTCATCATACTGCGCAGGCTGCCTGTACTGGTTGAACCTGAAGCTGCTGGGATACGCCAGGGCTGGACAAGCAAAAGAAAATGAGCGTTTAATCTTATCAGCCAAAAAACATGTTCTGAACGCACCACGGGCCAAACTTCAAGACATTCGGCAAGTTGGCTTGGTTGGCATTCGCGAGCTTCATGCGATTTTCTCCATCTGAGTTAAAGATCGGATTCCCTGGAAAGCTCTGCCAGTCCATCTTGCTCAAATTCTCGAGGTCGCTTGCAATTCGGGATCTGCCAAGCTTTGTCCTCTTGAACTTCAACTCGCACTCATCCAAATTCACTACGGCTGGTTTCTTGGAAGACTTTTTGCCGGCAAGCTTGGAAATGGTAGACGCTACCTTCTTCGCTGTCTTCTTTTTGGGGTCTGCTGCTGGCGCTGGCTTCATTCCACTGCCCCGGACCATCGTTGGAGCAACCATCCATGTTTCCAAATCAGGAACTTTGGCAAGAGCTTCAGCTGAAGCTTGCGAAATCACAAAGTGCATGTGGTCGGTGCTCAGAAGCGGCTTCATGCCTGCAACAAGGAATGCCCAGGATACTTTACACATTACAAAATGCAAGACTTGTGGTTGGTATGGTGTCAGGCCTTCCCAAAACATAGAGCGCAAGAACCCTTCCCTTGGGACTGTTCCCTGTTGGAGGCATGTTGGATGTCATTTTGTAGTAACTTCATCAACGAATCGCAGGAAATTGCTTTCCAATGCTTTCCAGGACATCCCCAGGTCTCTGAGTAGCATTATACAAACGCACGACATTTTGTAGCAACCAGTGCAGCTAGGAGGCTTCGCTCACAGCTGAGAATTGCCACCAAGGCTTCAATTCGCACAACCCAAGCATTGGATGTGGAGCCACACTTCCATTTGGTTGGATCATCTGTGTTCACCAAGTCTAACTCCACGGCCCTAAATGCCACGCACGCGTCCAGTGGACACTCTGATGCATACTGCTTTGGCTGCTTCACACCTTTCCACAGGGTCATCACAAGGCCCAACTGGATTTCGTTGTTGCCCGGAGTGTGGAAGAGCACGATGTTTCCCGGCCTGGAATCCAAAACAATGGAGGATCACTGTACGCGCTATGTGAAAAAAGATAGAAACAAATAAAAAACAAATAAAAACTATATAGGAAGCATGATTGTCGCAAAGCAGCATGATGCGCTCCATTGGCGCAAGAGGCAGCTTGAGATCCTCGCGGGCCTTCTGCGCCATCTCCCGCCACTTGTCCAGGCGTCCAGCGCGCGCTCGAAACTGAGGCTCGGAACTCTCATTGCGCATAGCTGCCAACTGCATCTCATTGTACCTAGGCAATTGGGGCCAGTATGCCTACAAAATGACTGGGCATCAGTCTCGAGATCACACAAACACAATACAAACATTGAAGAACATCATACATGTCTACATACTGCATTTTGTAGTAAGCTGCTGATGCCAATTTAAGGCCTTGCTGGCACGGCGGCAGCTTCGATGGTTGCGGACAAAAATGGAGTCCATGCCGCCCTTGCCACAGCGCAAGCGGACTGCTAGCCGAAACAAAGGATTCCAAATGTTACTCTTGTCAACCTTGACGCACTTCATGTCAAAAACCTCCCGCAAAGTGGATGGCAAGAAATCTGGGTCTTGCTCACCTTTGCCCTTCGGCGAGCGGCTGGTCTCTGTTCGAAACGGCTCCATGACATTGTCCTTGTCCACGAGCTTCTTGATTTGCTCCCCATCAGGGATTCTCTTCATCTCCAAATCCTCGGCATCTGCTGCTTCATGGTCCATCTCCTGACCCGGGTCCTCCATGATGAACTTGCCTTCAATCGCCACCTGCGAGACGAGATCGCTGCAAGATACATCAGCTATAGGCTGCACTTCTGAAGACTCATCCGGATCCAGGTTGTGAACATCTGGATCGAAGAAATCACTGTCATGAGCATTGCAGAGGTTCCGATAGGCCTTCTCCAACACCTCCACACTTTCCTGCGAACAGAACGAAGCCAATTGCAAGGCGGCATCCATGGCATTCTTGCAGCAAAGCTGGAACCTGGCTTGCTTTGAGAAAACCACCCAAAACTTTGCAATGTGTTGACATGTGTGAACTACAAAATGACAATCCTGGAGGTGCAACACTTGCCAAACATTTGCTAGCAACTCCATATCATTGAGCTTCTTCTCCAGAAGTGGCTCAGTCGCATTCTCCTGAGCGCGGACTTTCCACAAGGCTCCACAAGGAATGAATAAACAAAAAGCACAACACTACAAAAAGCAAATCCTTGATCAACAAATGCCAGAGTAAAAGTGAAAGCTATAAGGGCCGAAAGCCCACTCATTTTGTAGGTGAACATTGTTCCTGCAGTGATCTACAATTAACACAACGTAACCAAGCCTAGAATCTGCCTTCATGTTCTTGTTCATCCTGGCGCCTGTTCTGAGGTTCTGTCTGGTGGCTGCAGTCCAATAGGAGCGCGCTGTGTGCTGTGAATTCGAGGATTGTGCGCGGATGAAGCTAAAGAACTGCTCCACCGTCAGTTCCGAAGCTCTTGCACTTCCTCTCTTCCACGGAGTCCACCCTTTTGGCTTGGATACACACATGGCAATCACTGACAAAGCCACACCTTGAAGGTTGAAGACGGTCTGAGGTGCCATAAATAAGGGTCCAGTTGGTAGACCCTTTTCTCGGCATTTGGCGCTGGAGATCATGCGGAAGATGTCTAAGCTCAAGAATGCTGTCAAACCTAGCTCGCACCTCTGAAGCAAAGTGAGGTCGCGATGCAAGGCAGGTGCCAAAGCCATAGCGCAAACCACGTTGTGCACAGTAGCTCCACGCAAAGCCCATGGCACTACAAGTGAGTTCAGGCGCCCGTCGACCTCCTCCACCAAAAAGAATGGATTAGTCAGGAGGCTGTTGAGCTTATCGCTCATCGGTTCTTCTCTGCTATATGCAGCGGGAGGTAGTCCGTGAGAGCGAGCCAAGGTGACGTCGGCCCAGTACTCACCATATGTGCATGTTCTCAACATGCTGCACAGTTGGCCGCTGGTGTTTTTGTTTGCGTGACCTGAGGCCAAACAATGAAATATTAGGCTGTTAGTTAGAACTTGCTGGGGATCGGTTGTTGAGGAGCATAGCGCTTGTTCACTACAAAAAAGCCAAACACACCAAAAAATGCAGGCATGGGCAGTCCGTCTGTGCCCAGTACAGCGTGTTACATCAAGATAACAAAGAACACATAGCATTTTGTAGGGAAAATATCTAAAATAACAAAACCCACAACCCATGGGAGCAATGAAACACGTGCAAGGAGCAAGGTCCCGGCATACAGTAGATGTATTCGTTGCTGTGCTTGCACAACGCGATTGGTAACCGGGGCAAAGCGCTCCTGGGCAAAGCTTCCCATTCTAATTCGCTGAACCAGGCAACTTCCTTCAACGCCACTGGGTCTACGCAATCTGCATGCTGCCCGTGCAACATTTTCCTCACAAGCGTGTGTGTCCCAAAGGCGTCGAACGTCATGCAGCGGATAAGGTGTCCACACTCTTTCATGAAAATTCCGACAGTGTGCAGCATGGACCATTGGCCTGCTGCAGCAGCGCCAGATCCTCCACAACTATGCATGGTTGGCATTGAAGCCACTGACAGGGCAGATTTGGCTGCAGAGCATGGGTCCCAAACGATGTACTCGTACATCAGGCCGGCCTTTGGGACTTCCCGCGCATTCAAGGATGGATCATTGAGATCTAAGAAGCAGGTTGCAGCATTGCCTGGCGCCCAAGCACCGCCAACAAGCCCTCTTGCACCGTTGATCAAGGTGATCTGCGACAGGGTAGCTGTGAGGTATGTCCCGTCGAAAGCCAACATCAAACGTCCTAAGCATATTCAGAAGCGTCAGAGAAAGAAGCAAAAGACATTTCAAAAATGCATGTGTGGCCTACAGAATGACAAAATAGTATGCAAGGATGCTCACAAAGAAATATGTAAAATATTAATATAACCTTACAAAATGCATGGCATCCTTTGTAGTGAATTAGAAATCCTCATACAATATCAACACTTTCATGCTTTCTGCCTATCCAAGCTACGCTGCCCGCAATTCTTCTCGTCCAATTTGTACCGCTGGTGCACCAATAGAGCATTTTCTCGTAGCTGATCCGGGAAATGCAAAGCTAGAACTGGGCATGGCAGGCTATGCTTGGTCAGCTCATTGAAAGATGTCCTGAAAGCAGTCCCTGGGACGCCAAATTGCGCAGCTAGTTCTTTGTTGCCACAAAGCATCGCTAGCTGCATGCCAGCGTCGTTGATTAAGGCTTCCTCCCTTGCTGTTCTGGCGGCCTTGCGCCCACGCATATCAGCTCCTCGCTTTTGCTTGTCTAGCATTTCTAGACACTGCAGCGAAAGCCCCTGCAACAGGGGGTGATCGTTCAATCCACCACTGATAGCTGCGCTGGCAAGCCGGATGTTTGCCAAGTCTGTCTCGGAGGCTTGTCCGGTTGCCAAACACAAAGAGAATTTGGCCAGAGTGTCTGCAAATTGATCTGGCATCCCCTGCGCGTTGCAGCGTAGACATGGATTGATAACAGCTCCAAGAAACTGCTTGTGTGCGTCACTCGAACCAAGATCAGGTACAGAGCTCCAAGCTCCACGAACATACTGTTGAAGTTGGCTGGAATTCAACCGGATGATGGTGTCAATTGAGCGGTTGTCCCTAGCATAGCAGGGTGTCTGCTTGATTGCTTGCTGCAGTCTCTCCACAGCATCCTGCCCCTGGAAGAGGCGCGCGCTCAAAAGTTCAGCTGCAAAGTGCTTGATCATGAATTTCATTACGCTTCTGACCACTCCGTGTCCACCACCAACAGCTTCACAAAGAGTGCACATAGCCCTCTCACCTTCAGGGGGGCTTGAGAACTGTCTTTGCGCAATTGTGGGCTCGGATCACCCAAATGCCCTCATTGCCATCCTGCCAGGCACCAGTGCTTGACCAAGCATGAGACAGGCTCTACAAAATGGTTTCCACAGATTGTTTGTTTTTGATATTATGAAATTAACGTTAAAACCTGTGAGACATACCATCAAATTGTTAAGATCTCACATTTTGTAGAGACACAAGCGCTCTAAATGTGTGTTGTGTTGATTCGTCTGTCAAAAAGTAAAAGTAACACATCAGTCTCTCTTGTCCTTCAAATACCGATGCTTTGCAAACTCTGGCAGGTTGACAAAGGTAGCCCAAAGGTTCATCTCCGTGATAAACTTTTGAAGCAATCCAGTCCCTTTTCCATCCAGCAAATATGCCTCACACTCAACAAACTCGGGCGCAATGTGCGCTTCTCCTTCCAAGGCTTCCTGAGCAATCATTGATCGTTGGTGTTTGGCAGAAGCACAATGTTGCCGAAGAAAGTGAGCAGCGGCAGACACCTTGCCTGAGGACATGTCTATGACTTTGCCGTCCGGAAATGAATGGGTTTTGCATACCATGCACCGGACTGGAAACTTCTTCCCATGCTTTCCAGGCTCCAGCTGAACGAAGACCCCATCATAGCTTGCGATCAAAGCTGACATGGTATTCAGCAAAGGCTCGGCCCTCTCAGGTTTTGGTTGCTCATCAGTCTCACCATCCACCGCATTTTGTAGAGGCAAAAGTTCAGGAACTTTGGAATGCTTCAGCGCATCTAGCAAAGCTTCCTTCAGCTTCTCTTCACTGAACTGATGACTTTCAAGTAGAGACTGACAGATTGTACACCTGAAATTGGACACGTCGAAGTCATCCTGCATAAATCTCCGCTGCAAGTTCACAAAGCCAACAGCATCACAAGATGAAACGCTTTTGGCCCCATTGAGCCTGACTGAAAGGTTCCAAACATAACACATGGTACAAACGAAACCATCCTCCCCCATCCAGACCTCACTACAATTACTGCCCGTGCGCCTGTAGTGCTGACGCTGGAAGACTGGCCACGTCACCCCAATCGACGCAAGGTATTGCTTGATGCAGCGTTCTTTCACGAGCTTGTCACTGGCTGGTAGCTTTCTGCATGACCGTGTGTGAGTCTCACGTTTGATTTGCCTGGTCGGGAGGCCAATGCCCAAAGAGCATTCGGCGGGCAGGATTTCCAAGTTCTGATCGGCAACGCAAATCTGTTGTGGACCTGGGGCCCGGAGGGATGTGTCGGATGCTTCAACTGGAGGCTGCCCAAAAGAAGCTGGCTTCCCTTCATCCAGGACGCTGGCTTTGGGAGCCTTCTTCTGAGATTTGCCCGCCTTCCCTTCACATGCCTTCCTCTTGCGAGACTCCGGGGACGCAAGCTTCTTGTCCATGTCTTGCTCTACAAAATGCGCATCCAGCATGAATCCGTCAAAGAGACGCTGATGGAGTGATTTGCGAGAAACATTGATCCAGCCAGCGGCCAATTCCTAAGCCAAAGTTCTCTGCAAGCATTTTTTTTCAAAAACACTTTTACTACAAAATGCAATGTTTTTATTCTTTATACAGTATAACCATATATAACCCACAAAAGAGGTTGCCAACTTGCGCAACAAAGAAACCTCACGCAAAGCAGTTGTATTTGCTTTGGCATGAGTATAATCCTCATGGGTCACATCTGGATCATGCATGCGCTCTAAAGCCCACACTGACCATAAACCACAATTTCCATCAGCCGGGACAAACTCAGGAACCAAGCCAATCTCTTCGAACCTGGTCAAAGCCTTTGCCATGTTGTTGCCATACTTCTCTTGCGCGATCAAGCCCTCAAACTTTTCCATCTCTTGTGGAGTTGCTGTTCGATCGCGATCATCCCCCAACATCTCCAACATCTTGAACTTGATGTCAGCCTGAAAATCCGCAACATGCTTGCGAGCCGATGCCAAGGCAACCGCCCAATCAGCATAGTTGAATTGCGACCGATGCCAAGCCGGAATGAAGTGGTTCAAACTCTGCTCAGGAACAGCTTCAAGAGATGCGTGGCAATGGATGATAAACCAGGTATGGTGGCTGCTAAAATCAATCTTCCACTCCTCTTGGGGGTATGCATCGCAGGCGGTCCGCAGCATTGAATGAATGTCCGTGAGCTGCAGCTGTGGTTCGTTCTTGTAGGACAAGAATACTAGATCTTTGCCACGCCGGCGAGCCAACATGTGCAGATCCAAGCAAGAGATATAGATTCCATCATCGACAATGTAATTGGAATACCCGTCCTTACAAAATGACGTGACTCATCACTGCTGCAACAAAAAGGATATGGCTTCGTATATGTGCTATTGTATCCCCTCTGTCTGTTACAATCACAGAACGAAGGAGAACCTAACCACACCATTCAGTAGACCTTCAAGACCCTTGCAAACCAGATTCTATTCTCTTCTTCAAAGCTGGATCGGACTGAGCCTGAGTCTCATCATGTTGCTTTGCTGTCTTGCCGCATCCATCTCCTGCAAGGAGTGGCAACACAAAGACACTCTTATGGCTTGCCCGGTTACTTGTCACTAATTTGTGTAACATGTCTCTACAAAATAAAAGTTTTGGATCTTTAACCGACAAGACCTATGACAGCAGCTTGCACTATGACTAATTCACATTAATTCAGGTTCTCTACAGAATGAGAGTTTTCATAGATCGCCATGTAAAAGAGGTCAGAACCAAGCTGATCCCGATCCTTCACTTGTTTCAGCGCCTTTCTGCTCATCCTTGTGCTGCGTTCCAAGTCCTCCCACACAAGCCGGCGCGAAGCAAGAGAAAATAACGCAAGTGTCCAAACAACCCATGAGCCCCGCTGCATGAACAGTTCATGGATGTTCAGGGTAGATCACGATGGCCACTCGCCCCCAAAACGGAGCTGATGTGTCGCTGGGCTGCAGGCAGAACGCTCTTCAGGTCTACAAATTGATTAGACATGACTGAAATATATTCGACTCCTTTCCCTCACTTCGCAGTCAGTCCTTCTGCCTTTGCTTTCACTTCTGCTGTTCCAGGTGTAGCTCCTGGGGGTCGGGACACTCTTTAGTTCAAATGTTGATTTTCTTTGGATAAGGCCTTGCATTGTGTAGTTATTTTGTTGGCCAAATAACTACAAATAGTCATAAATATTATGTATATATATCTATATAGTCTCATTCTACAAAATAAAGAACATCCAAGACCCAGGGGTTTGGTTGGGGAAGGCCACTCTGTGCCACTGAAAAAACACTTGTCTCCTGAACACCAACGCTCCCAGTCTTGAAGGTCATCAACAGGACTGCCATCCAAGCTGCCCCACTCGTCAGCAAATTCTGGAGGAAGCCCGTGGTGGCTCATCAGCCAGGAAAGGAACTTGGGGAAGGATGGATGAGATCTGGCCTTCTGGCACAGGTTGGCAGCTTCTTCTTCAGACAGCTCCTTAGTTTCTACATGTTCATAGGATTTAGACTTGGATGTTTTAATAGCATTCTCCAACAATATCAACTATATATAAATCTATTTCTATCCTCTCTTTCTGTTCCTGGTTATACACCTAGCTTGCTAGACAAGAATCAGTCGCACATGCGTTTCCTGCAGCTGGCACTCCTGCAGTCACCCCTTGGACTGCGCTGGCGCCTGCTGCCACATCCGCTATGGCCTTCTTGACTTCAGTTGAAGGTGTAGCAGTAGCTCCTGGTCTTGACATCACCGGCTATCAGAAACAATGTGTTGGACATTGCATTGTGTAGGGAATGCGGCCTCTACAAAATGAAGTTGTTAATCCTTTCCAAAACTCCCAAATACGAAAAGAAATATCTATGACGTTATTTTGAAAACAACCAGCAGACGCAACCAAAAGAATTTGAAAGAACTTGGTTCATCTTGGTTCTACAAAATGACTGGAATTTGATGAGTTTTTTTCTCTTCATGGTTTCTGGCCCTTATAAGAGATTCACTTATATTCTGCTTTGGAATTCTTGACTTCCATAGAAGATGTAGCTCCTGGAGATCAGGCGGTGCTACTATTTAGGATGTCAAGATTCAAAACATCGTATTTTGTAAAAAACACGATTATCCAAGGTTAAGATCACCTGTAGACCGGAAGTAAGGATTGATTCTACAAAATGCAATGGATCCTGTGAGCGTTTCAAAACTCATCAATACTCCAAGATACTCCAAGAGCAAAGACATAAACTTGAAAAAAAACAAGAAGTGAAAACTCTTGGTTGTTGTTGTTTGTTGTTTGTTGTGTTTGGTTATGTTTGGTTGTTGTCTCCGGCCCTCAAAAGAGATTCCCTTCTGTCCCTGCATGTTTGCTGTGGGCGCCTCCTGCCGGTTCCGCTTTGGCCTGGTGGGCAACTGCAT